TCTCTACTTGTCCAGAGCTCTGGGGACAGTAGGCACAGGTGTAGTTTCCAATTAGTGTCCACGGTCTTGGTCAATGCCTGTGACACTGAACTCACAAATGCAGGGCTGTTATCTGACCTGATCACAAGAGGCAACCCAAACCTAGGAATTACCTCTTCTAGTAGCTTTTTGGCCACAATCCCTGCCATCTCATGCTTGGTGGGGAAAGCTTCTACCTAGCCTGAAAAGGTATCCACAAAAACTAACATATACTTGTGTCCATACTTTGCTTGTTTTACCTCTGTGAAACCTACTTCCCAATAAATTCCTGGTTCCCTACCTCTCTCCCTCTTTCCTCTTCCCATTCTGGTTCCTCCTGCGTTTACCGCCTGACATTGAGCACATCTGTCTACCATATCCTGAGCCATATGTCCTAGCTTAGGAACATGAAACTGTCTACCTACTAGTGTATTTTAAGTTTGTGTGTGTCTAGATGAGTGCTCTGATGTATCTGGCCCATAAACTTTTTTCCTAGCCTTCAGGGAAGGTCCAACTTTCCGGTCCTGATTTTGGTCCAGTCCCCTTCCCACTCTAGTTTGCCCCACTTTTGTAAATACCTTAAATCCTCTTCTGAATAGTCTGGCCTTTTAGGTAGGGCTGGAGCCGGGAATGCAACTAGTTCTTGGGCTGCTTGCTTCTTGGCTCAGTCTGCTAATTGGTTTCTTTTTGAAACCAGATCAATCCCCTGTGGTATCCTGGGCAATGCATAATGGCCACCTCTTTTGGGTCCCAAATAGCCTGGAGGAGAGCCAATATTTCCTCTCTGTTTTTAATTCCTTTTGCTGTTAGCAGGTCCTGCTCTTTATAGATAGCCCCATGTATATGGAGGGTAGCAAAGGCATACCTGCTGTCTGTGTAGATGTTGACAGTCTTACCCTTGTAGCGCCTTGGTAAGTGCAATCAGCTCCGCCTTTTGTGCTGAGGTTCCATGTGGCAGGGCCACCTTCCAGAGTTTCTGCTCAGGAGAAACCACTTCAGCCCCTGTATACCCTTTTTTTAATTGACCATGTAGCTACTCCCGTCCATGAACAGTCATTTCTGCATCCCACAGGGGAGAGTCTCTGAGATCGGGTCATACTCCTGTGATCTGAGTCAGGACCTCCCCACAGTCGTGTAGGTCATTGGTCATTGGTCAACTCCTCTGGCAGCGGCATGGCTGGATTTAGCACTGCTGGGTATCCGAAAGTCACTTTGGGTTTGTTAAGGAGGACTTGGTATCCTGTTACTCGGGTGTTTGTCATCCACCGGTCTGGTGGGGTCTGGAGGAGGCCCTTGCTAGCATGAGTGGTGGTCAGGATGAGATTTTTTTTTTTTTGGTCAGTCGTGGGGCTTGAACTCTAGGCTTGGCCCCTGTCCCCGTGCGCTTCAGCTCAAGGCGAGCGCTCTACCACTTAAGCCACAGCACCACTTCCTGTTTTCTAGTGGTTTATTGGAGATAAGAGTCTCACAGACTTTCCTGCCTGGGCTGGCTTTGAACCGTGATCCTCAGATCTCAGCCTCCTGAGTAGCTAGGATTACAGGCGTGAGCCACCGGGCCAGCAGGGATGAGATTTTGTCCCAGAGTCAATTTACTTGTGTCCTTGACCTGGAGGGCTGTAGCAGCAATTATGCAGAGGCAAGGGGGAAACCCAGCTGCTACTGGATCTTTTGGCTAAGATAGGCCACTGGCCTTTGTCACCGTCCCAGAGTCTGAGTTAAAACTCCTTTAGCCACCCCTGGCTTTTTATCCATGTACAGGTGGAAGGGCTTAGTAACATCTGGCTCGGCTAATGCTTGAGCACTCAGTAAGGCTGTTTGTAATTCCCCAAATGTCCCTTCTGCCTCACGGTCCACTCTATTGTAGTGAGTCCCCCTCTAGTCAGCTTGTAGAGAGGACAGGCAATCTCCACGAACCGGGGTATCCACAACTGCAGTAGCCCACCATCCCAAAAAACTGCCTCACTTATTGGGGTGTGGCGGGGTGGGGGTATCGGGTGATCACGTGTCTTCTGGACTCAATGAGCGCATTCCCTCATGGAGGTCAAAGCCTAAATATGTGGTGGCGTGGCTGGGACAAAGCTGTGCTTTCTTTGCTGACACCCCATACCGTTTTTTCTGTAGGATCTGTAAAAGAGCTTTTGTCCCCCCCCCCCCAAGCATGACTTATAGTCTTCAGCAGCTACAAACAAGTCATCAACATACTGTAACAGGGTGACTCCTGGGTTGGAGGTTCTGTACTCACACAAATCTTCATGTAGCCTCGTCGAAGATGAGGGGCTGAGACTCCTTTGTCAAAGGAATGCAGAAAAATGCATCCCTGAGATCTAGGAGGGTATACACAGTTCTTTTGGGGCCCAGGGAGGAGAGTAGGGTATAGGGGTTAGGCACCGATGGGTAGATGTCTTTAACTTGTTGGTTAACTTCCTGAAAGTCCTGAACAGTCAGTCATGGGGCCTGAACTCTGGGCTTGGGTGCTGTCCCTCAGCTTGTCAGCTCAAGGCTAGCGCTCTACCATTTGAGCCACAGTGCCACTTCTGGCTTTCTCTGCTTATGTGGTGCTGAGGAATCAAACCCAGGGCCTCATGCCATGCATGCAAGGCAAGCACTCTATCACCGAACCACTTTCCCAGCCCCCTAACATTCTTTTTTTTTTTTTTGTCTGTCATGGGGCTTGAACTCTGGGCTTAGGCGCTGTCCCTCAGCAATTCAGCTCAAGGTGAGCGCTCTACCACTTCAGCCACAGTGACACTTCCTCGGCCTTTTGGACAGCAGCAAGGGTGTGTTCCATGGGGACTTGCAAGGAACTAGGATCCCGTCTCCTTGGAGGTGGTTAATACGTTCTCTGATCCCTTCCTTTGCTTCCCAGGGGAGGGAGTACAGCCGAAACTGTTGCTTTTAGCTGTACCACTATGGAGGGCATCCCTTGGCTAGGCCCGGAGGCTTCCCTTCTACCTAGACTTGGGGAAACTTGTCCTGTAGGGTTTGGAGAAGGCTTCCCTTCCCTGTCTCTGGACTTTGAGACTGGCTCGTAAAGGTGTTTATCTATTGCTTCCACAAGCATTTGTACAGTGGGTTGTTCCAAAGTTACAGTCATGTCTCCTTCTGAGAACTGAATGCCAGCCCTCAGCTTGTGGAGATCTCTGCCCATCAGGCTATACAGAGCATTTGGGAGGACCAGGAATCAATGTTTGACTAATGTCTTTCTGTGCCATTTGCCCCTTGTACCCAGATTTTTTTCCAGATAGTATTTTCATAGGCTTTAGTAACGATGAAAATTGGATTCTTGTGTCCACCAAAAAGTCAACTGATTTCCCCTCCACCTCAATTTTAACCCGAGGTTCGGGGAGGGGCTCTGAAGCACAGCCCCCAGTCTTTGGTGGCCAGCACTGTCGTTCTCTTTAGGGCACTCTCTGGCCCAGTGTCCTTTTTTCTTGCAGTAAGCACACTGATCTGAATCTAAGTCCTCCCACTTGTTTTCCTCACTCAGGCTTTTCTCTCCACTGACCATCTCCTACTTGCCTTTTCCTTTTTAATTGGCCTCTTTTCCCCTGTCTCTTTCCTGCCTCATGTAATGCCAAAACCTTAATAATCCTTTTAGTCTGCCTCTCTTCCTTTTTTTTTTTTTTTTTTTTTTTTTT